ATATATCGAGATTTAATGCGATTCGATACTTGAACTTTGAATGGATGATTCACCTCTTTATAGATTAATAATAAAAAAAATAGGAGTTTACCAAATGGAGGATAAGACTAACGGATTGTCCGGTTTATTACTATTTATCAAAAGTTTCCCGAGAAAAATAAGAGTGATTAGAATTTTGTTTTATATGTGAGTCGGAAAATGTGATCAGACTTATTTATGAGTTATAGGGCCACTTAACGTGCTCTCAATTAATAATTATTTTCCTTTAACTAATGTTTAGTTATTTATAATAATTAATCTAAAAGGTGATATTCGATTGGCCATGCTAATGACTCTATCCTGGAGATAATCGCATTTGAAAGAAAAACTGATTTTTCTCCACGAAAGAAAAAAATCGTGGAATCGTCAGGACGTAACACTTTATATCTTTTATTTTAAATAAGTCCTTTTAGTCAGGAATTGATCGTACTTAAAACAATTTTATTAAAAATATGTATTTTAAATAAAAGATTAAAGTATTTATTATTTTATTTAAGAATAAAGTACTTATTATTTTTCGTACTATTCGGTAAATCAATAAATTTAAATTTATGCGTTGTACGCTTTCGATTCGAAAATTGAAAGTGATACAAAACCCTCGACGTGCTATCACCATTAAAGAGAACAAGCACCGATCTAAATGTGACAATTTTTAATTTATAAACTGTATATTTCGACGCTTATTTAGAGCGTGTGATAGTATAATTATATACGAATCGACATATATTCACAAGTCACAAATTATGAGCATTAATCAATTCACGTTCGTAGATATTTAATTTTCTTTTAATACGATACGCTTAACGTTTCGTACTTCGTGTATATCGCCAAGGTCGCCGAGTGAATGCCGAAGTGATAATGTTGTCAACCGCCCCGCGCGGCATGCTCCCCCACCTCTCGCTTCTCGCTTCGAGCTGTTTAAATATCCTACTATTGCGAATGAAAGATATTCACGATTTATTCATATTTATTTATATTTTACATAATTTTGACAAACGGGTACCGTCATATAGTTCGCTTTATGGCATCTCTGGCATTAGTTTAATTCTATATTATTTGCGCGGTTCCTTTTATAAATATATAAATTGATAATTATTCGCGTGTATAACGTTTTTTGATATTCTAACGGTATTGTTATATCTCAATTTTTATTATACTTTTAAAATATTTTAAATGATTCATACTTAAACAAAAGTTAATAATATTCTATGCGTCCTTTATAAAAATATATATATGCAAATTTTCTTAATATCACGAAACAATTTGATACAGCTTTTGTTAAATTAAATATCTTGTTAATCATTATTTAATTTTTCTAGAAAACATTTTTCAGCTATAAAATTAATTTATGATTACTGTTGCTGCAAATTATTTTTCTTCAAACTTACGTATTATGCCGATTACAACTCGATAAAATAACTGTTATGACTTATTTAAAAAAATATATATAAAATAAGTTTTAGAAACTTATTTACAATTTAAAATTGTAGAAATAAGTAAAAAAACTGACTATTGTACTTATTTAAAATATTAAATAAGAAATAAGTTACAAGTATTGTTATTTAAAATAATGAATACTAAATAATTCTTTTATTTTAGAATAAGGTGCGAATGAAATCATTCATTGTCTTATTCTAAAGTAAATGAGTTATACTATAGTAATTATATTTGGTAAAAGATGAACTGAAAATTTGCGTAAAGAAACATAACTTCGTAATTATATAAGTTGTTATAAGACAAAATTCACTAAATTCACTTGTTTTTTATTTTCAATTTCATTTATTAAAATTCAACAACTTTTATTTATATTTATGTAGGAGATACGAAATGAAAATTTTTTTTCGTTTAGAACCCATTAAATTATTTCTCCTGTAAATATAGTCGGTACGCATCTGTCCTGAGGATTTATTACAGAGACGAATCACATCTACTTTCAACGATACAATTTTATTGATAGTAAAACAGAAAATGTATTTAGTCACGTAGTTTTCAAATTAAAAATGGATGTACTGGCAGTAGTGTACAGGCGATTTTGACGGTAACAGAAAAAAAGTCGGCATTACCTCTCTCAGATTTCTCTCTGTGCATCTGGATATTTTGGTCAAAGAAAAACCTGACGGTCCAAAATCTATAACCGCAAAATACTACTGCCCTCTAACAAAGTGGATGTGGAAACTGCATAGCAACGTCCACTTTTCTTAGGATACATCATCCACTTTTTAAGGCTGGATAAATCGATAGTATTGTTCGTTTTGTCTCTCGGAGCTACTCGGAGTTACTTCGTATGAACCCAGCGTACTTGAAATATAGGATTCATATTACGTACGGCATCTGTCATACGTCGTCCGACATTCATCGTAATAATAATGACCGGATCAGCACAGACTCTTACATAACGCATAATGCATAATGCATAAGGGAATCAACTAATCGAAATTCTTCTTTTCCATGGAATAGAAGGAAAGGAAAGATTCTGATTAGTTGATTTGCTTATGCACTATGTGTCATGCAAAAGTCTGTGCTGCGGCCTTAATGGATGCCGTATAATGTGAATCCTATAGCGGAGAGCACAAACTTTTGCATAACGCATAAAACATGAAGCATAAGAAAATCAGCCAAAATCAGAATCTTTTATTTTATGGAAAGAAAGAAAATAAAGGATTTTGATTGGTTTATTTTCTTATGCCTCATGTGTTATACATTATGCAAGAGTCTGTGCTCCCCGCTTATACTTTAAGTACTAAATTTATTCGGAACGACCCCGAGCAGCTCCCGAGAAACAAACCGCATAATACTTATGTCCACAGTTGATTGGATAAATGTCGATATAGTTGGTATTGCTTCATCGCAACCGTGCATGGCGCTTTAGTCGCTTCACCGGTTTCACGTCGATGACGCTCTTGCAGTGATCGTGACGCGCGAATATAAGAGTGTACGTTTGGAAGTCATGTATGTACATACATACATACATGATTTTGCTGTACGTTGCACGCGATGTATATAGGCGCGCGCGCGTGTATCTATATTTGCGGCATTTGCGCACGGTACTTGCGAATTGACAGCTGCCAGCTGCTGCCAGCACGAGTAGTAAAAGTAGCGGATCATGTAAGGTGAGTTTTGTTACAAGAATTTAACAATGGATGGAAGAATCTTATCTCTCTAGCATGCGAATTGCTATAAAACTTGTACATTTTTGATGAAGGTAAAAGTTGACGTATCCGTTATGTCGATGGTGCCGTGTTTTACCGCACAATTTCTCGTTCCCGATTTTTACGCGTAAATGACAATGCATTGATGCATTTCTTATGATACTAATGCAATTTTTATCGCTAGATATTTCTGCAAGTGTTCTGAGAGCTTTGATTGTTACAGGATCTTTCGGGTTAAAGAGACAATTTGCCATTCTACAAGTGTTTGCACTGCTAAAGGGACACGTTAGAAGAGTTGGCAGGATAGGCAGACGCAAGAGCGGGCGAAGAAGGAGTAGAGGATCCAGAGGCAGAATGACACGTCCTCCAAATAATGACAATCTTATGACCTTTAAATTGGTCGTTGTTGGTGATGGAGGTGTCGGCAAAAGCGCGCTTACAATACAGTTTTTTCAAAAACTATTTGTTGCAGACTATGATCCAACTATCGAGGATAGTTATATACAACATACAGAGGTAGACAAACAATGGTGTATCTTGGATGGTAAATATCTTTACATCTCTAATACAAATAATTTTTTTTTCTTTATCAATGTAATATATTGAATGATCTTTATATTTTTTCAAATTTATTACCTAATAACAAGAGATTAATGATTAAAAAATTTATACTTGTTAATTAAGATTTTGATGCATGTATTAGAAACGTAGGACGTTAAGAATAACTTTTCTCTCATGAATACTTATATGCATTTGTTATATATTGCAGTATTAGATACAGCTGGTCAGGAAGAATTTAGTGCTATGCGTGAACAATATATGCGGAAAGGTGATGGATTTCTTTTGGTATATTCTGTGACTGATAAACAATCGTATCAAAACATTGTCAATTTTCATACTCAAATTTTACGAGTGAAAGATAGAGATATTTATCCTATGCTATTGGTAGCTAACAAAGTTGATCTAGTGCATTTGAGAAAAGTTACAGAGGAACAGGGAAGAGAATTAGCTTATCGTTTGGGCATACCTTATATTGAAACTTCTGCCAAAGATCCACCATTAAATGTAGACGTGGCATTTCATGAGGTAAAAGTAAAAATAAAAGATGATTATTAATTATTTCCGTTCATGTAAATTAATGTACAAATTTGCAATATCTGTTTAAGGTTGTTCGTATTATCAGAAATCAACCTCCTGCTGAGTTGGAGAAAAATCAAAAAAAGCGACGACGTACTGCAAAAAGGTGCAATATTTTGTAAGTTTTGAAGACAAACTGCGCAACTATACAAGACCCAAGGACCATGGTGCTGCATCGTGCAATGACTTTGTTTCTGAGAAAGTACATCCTTGAGTTTAGAAAAGCTATCGGAAAGAATGATTCTTTCGTTCTTCAATATAGGTATCTATAACTATTTTCCATCTTTTGCTGTTTATTTTATCATAGCATTAATAAATGCTATGAAGTATCGTTTTCTTTGTATCGTTTTTTTTATATACCATGTAAACAATATTTATAAAAAGTATTTATCGTAGAAGTGTGCCAATGAGAAATAAGAAGGTTTTGATGCCAATACTATGAAAATGAAATTAGATTTTTTAAATCTAATTTAGGATTAATTTATTACAATTTTTGTAGCAGAAAATAAGCATTTGAGATATTGACTGCATGATAAATTGAGATTACATCTCTATCCATGTGTACGTGTACACATCAAATTTTCTACCATCGAAAAAAATACACACACACACACACACACACACACACACACACACACACACACACACACACACACATATATGAAATTGAGCGTTTTTTATTGCACACAATGCATAATATTACAAGTTTTTTTACTTCTTCGCGTATAAGAAAAGTCCTTGTCATAAAATGACTACAATCATTTCGTCGATATCGAGCTCATCTATGAAATAGTTGTTACAGTTTTAAATGACTTTATTTTATTGTGATATCCTTTTCCTTTTCTTTCACAATTAAGATATTCTCTTCACAATACTTTTCTAAATCAAACACATTAAATGTGTATCTTTTTATGACTCGAAGTCTCCCGTTTTTCTATTAGGGATATAATTATGACAATTGATTATTAATTATTTGCATAGTTAATGAAAATGAAGCAGTATTGTATTGTACATTATTTCATTTTTTATATATTATAGCATAACAAATTAAATATTATAGTAAAGGATTTGATGGTCAATAGATAAAGAAATTTTTAAATATGTTACAGAAACAACAATTAAAATTATTGTATCTTGTATAGACGTTTTATTAACAAGAATCATATTCATTTATTTATTGCTAATTATTTCAAAATGTTATATTGTAATGTAATATTGTAAATATTACTTGGTGTTTTAATTTTTATCTTCAACAAAAGTTTTTTTTATTAATAAAGATTAATTTATTGTTGATATATCCAATAGAAATAAATTATTGTGAATCTAAATATAAGAAATAAAGTATTTAATGTAAGGCAATATTGCCTCTGATAATAATGACTTATTTTCGGATATAAAGATCTGATGTACAAAAACTCATAACTCATTACGTTAATAAGATTGTCTTTAGTTTATACAAAATTATAATAAAAAAGTGAAGGCACAAATGTAGCACAAATAATTTTAGTTATTGCATCTCAGCATAATTGTTATTTAAAAACAAATTTTTTATCATTAATCTTTATCATTAATCTCATAGATGTCTAGAGGAAACTTTCAATTATAATAAAATTGTAAACAGTAAAAATTATTTTCTCTACTATTTACACACACAGGGTGTGCCATAAATTTTTACGAAGCGCTTTTGTGTAGATAGAGCGGATTAAACTGAGTCGAAAAACCCTCTAATCCATTTTGCAATTTTTGCAATGGTTGACGAGATATTACTAAAAATCGCTATTGGTCTTCAATAATTTTTTACTCAATTTTACTGAAAAATAGCATAAGAAACAAAAATTGTTCATTTTCTTCTCAAAGTTCTGAGAATGTTTTCAGAATTTTTTCTGAATTTTTTAATACCATATTTTCTCGCAGCGTTGGTAAAAATAAGAAATGCAATACTAAAAAAATTGATGAAAAATTCTGAAAATATTCTTAGAGTTCTATGAGAAGAAAATTAATGATTTTTGTCTCTTGCAGTTTTTTTGTAAAGTATAAGTTTATAATATTCAAGTAAAAAATTATTGAAGACCAATATTCGGCAATTTTTAGTAATTAATATTTCGTTAACTATTGCGAAAATTGTAAAATGATAGAGGACTTTTCAACTCAGTTTAATCCGCTCTATCTACACAAAAGAGCTTGGCAAAACCTTACAAGGACACTCTCTATATATATATA